CTCCTCCTCTGTCCTCCTCCTCATCGGTCCTGCTCCTCAGTTATCCTCCTCCTGGGTCTTCCTCCTCCTCCTTAGTCCTTCTCCTCCTCCTCCTCCTCCTCAGTCCTCCTCCTTCTCCTCACCAGTCCTCCTCAGTCCTCCTTCTCCTCCTCCTCAGTTCTCTTCATCCACCTCCTTCTCCTCCTCATCAGTCCTCCTCAGTCCTCTTCCTCCTCCTCAGTCCTCCTCCTCAGTCCTCCTCCTCCTCCTCTTTTCTTAATTATGATCATCTTTTGTAATCAGTTCAATGATAATACATCTTAGTAAACTTCCGGTTTTGAAAATCGAGTGGCAATACTTGCAATCGATATCTCCTTTCAAGATGAACTTCGAAAGGTCCGCTAGTGCAACTACTCAACTACTCAACTACTCTGTAGGAATATTTCTATTCAGGGATCCAATATAAATGTGGCTTTTACCAAATGAGCAACTAATGTTTTCCTGTCGAAGTATGGAAACTTCTATCTATGCTATTTACGAAAACTAAAGTGCAAAATTTGGTTATTAACAAAACCATTTAGTATTGTTAAAAGCCGATCGAGTTTCGTATTTATGCTTTGATTTAAGTAAAATTTGTGACATTTAAAAAAAAGTACTTTATTTTATCGGCGGGATTACGTAGAATTTGGCGGGATTACGCGGAATTACGCGGGATTACGCGGGATTACGCGGGATTTGGCGGGATTACGCGGGATTACGCGGGATTTGGCGGGATTAGCGGGATTTGGCGGGATTACGCAGGATTTGGCGGGATTAGCGGGATTGGCGGGGTTAGGTGTTGCACCCCGCCTCTAGAAGGGTGAGTCTGGAAACCAGAAAGGTGGGTCTACAATCTGGAATAGTGGGTCTGGCAACCAGAATTGCGGGTCTGCATTCTAGAATAGTGGATCTTCACTCTAGAAGAGTGGGCCTGGCAACCAGAATGGTAAGTCCACACTCTGTGAACCAGATTTGGGGGTCTATAAACTAGAATAAAGGAGATATGGCTACCAGAATTGTGGGTTTGGACAACCCGAATGGTGGGTCTTCACTCTAGAATAATAGGTCTGGTGGGTCTACACTTTAAAAGAGTGGGTCTGGCAACTAGATTGGTGTGTCTGCAATCTATAAGAGTGGGTCTGGCAACCAGAATAGTGGGTCTGCAATCAAGGGAATCAAGATGAGTGAGTCTGGCTATCAGAATGGTGGGTCTGCACCTTAGGGTTGTGGGTCTGGAGACAAGAATGATGGGTCAGAATTCTTGAATAGTGGGTCTTCACTCTAGCTGAGAGTGGGTCTGGCAACAAGAATGGTGGGTAAGAATTCTAGAATAGTGGGTCTTCACTCTAGAAGAGTGGGTCTGGCAACCAGAATGGTAAGTCTACACTCTGTCAAGTGTCAACCAGAATTGGGGGTCTAAACTAGATTATAGGATATATGGCAACCAGAATTGTGCGTCTGGAGTCTAGAGTCTAGAATAGTGGGTCCGGCAACCCGAAAGGTGGGTCTTCACTCAAAAATAGTGGGTCTGGCAATCGGAATGGTGCGTCTACACTCTAGAAGAGTGGGGCTGGCAACCAGAATGGTAGGTCTTCGCCTTAGAAGAGTGGGTCTGGCAACCAGAATGGTGGGTCTGCATTTTAGAATAGTGGGTCTTGACTCTATACCTACTAGAAGAGTGGGTCTCCTCTCTAGAAGAGTGAATCTGGCAACCAGAATGGTAATCCTTCACTCTGTCAACCAGAATTGGGGGTCTATGAACTAGAATATAGGAGATATGACAACCAGAATTGTGGGTCTGGCAACCAAGATGTTGAGTCTGCACTCTAATAGAGTGGGTCTGGCAACTAGAATGCAGACACGTAGCCAAGGGGAAGACCCCCGGAAAAAAAATTGAACCCCAAAAAAAATAAGCCCTCTAGTCGCCTGGTAAGTGGGCTGTGTTTATGACTGTTTGATTAAACGACACGACAGGCAATCGACTTTAGCATTTCGTAAATTATTCCCAAATCCCACTATACAATATAATGTACTTATTCAATTCAATGTGACAAGTACTGAGTTCCCCCTTAGCCCCCAACTTTGTATTATTGTGATGTCTGAAATTACAAATTTCTAATGCCAAATGTCGTCTGAAACACCCTATTTCTCAAAAATTTTCCGGGGGCTGCACCCCCAACTTTGTATTATCGCCGTCCTACAAATTTCTTTAATGCCTAATGTCGTCTAAAACAAATAATTTCTAAAAATTTTCTTGGGGGCTGCGCCCCCCCCCCAGTCCCCCAACTTTATATTATTGTGATGTCTGATTATTACTGCGCCCCCCCCATCCCACCAACCTTGTATTATTGTAATGTATGATTATTGCTGTCCTACAAATTATTGCTGTTATGTCCCACAAATGTCGTCCAAAACACATAATTTCTCAAAAATTTTCTGATTGGCTGCGCCCCCCCCCCCCCCTCCCTAGCCAACCAACTTTATATTATTGTGATGTCTGATTATTACTGCCCTACTAATTTCTTTAATGCCTAATGTCGTCTGAATCACCCTATTTCTCAAAATTTTTCCGGGGGTGCGGTGCGCCCCCGGCCCCCTAGCCTCCCAACTTTGTATTAATGTGATGTCTGATTATTACTGTCCTACAAATTTCTTTAATGCCTAATGTCGTCTAAAACAAATAATTTCTAAAAATTTTCTTGGGGGCTGCGCCCCCCCCAGTCCCCCAACTTTATATTATTGTGATGTCTGATTATTACTGCGCCCCCCCCATCCCACCAACCTTGTATTATTGTAATGTATGATTATTGCTGTCCTACAAATTATTGCTGTTATGTCCCACAAATGTCGTCCAAAACACATAATTTCTCAAAAATTTTCTGATTGGCTGCGCCCCCCCCCCCCCCCCCCCTCCCTAGCCAACCAACTTTATATTATTGTGATGTCTGATTATTACTGCCCTACTAATTTCTTTAATGCCTAATGTCGTCTGAATCACCCTATTTCTCAAAATTTTTCCGGGGGTGCGGTGCGCCCCCGGCCCCCTAGCCTCCCAACTTTGTATTAATGTGATGTCTGATTATTACTGTCCTACAAATTTCTTTAATGCCAAATGTCGTCTAAAACACATTATTTCTCAAAAATTTTCTGGGGGGCTGCGCCCCCCCGGCCCCCAACTTTATATTATTGTGATGTCTGATTATTACTTTCCCCAAATTTCTTTAATGCCAAATGCCGTTTTAATCACCCTATTTCTCAAAAATTTTCCTGGGGGTTCGCTCCCCTTGCCCACCAACTTTATATTAATCTGATGTATGATTATTGCTGTCCTACAAATTTCTTTAATGCCAAATGTCGTCTGAATCACCCTATTTCTCAAAAATTTTCCGAAGGCCAGGGCTGCGCCTCCCTAGCCCCCCAACTCTGTATTAATGTGATGTCTGATTATTACTGTCCTACAAATTTCTTTAATGCCAAATGTCGTCTAAAACACATAATTTCTCAAAAATTTTCTGGGGGGCTGCGCCTTCCCCCCTCCCTAGCCAACCAAACGAGCTTCGCCCCAGCTACGTGTCGTGTCGGGCTACGTGCCCAGAATCGAAAAAACTTAATCTTTAAATGAATAACGGAACCTTCTTTATGAAGTCACGAGATGATAATATAATTGGGAGGCAAAGTGGGTATCGGGCTTGGGGCTCATAATGCGCAAAATTTGGCCGCTGTCGAGTGGGTCTGCCTAAAATTCACAGATCTAGCTATGGGTCTGAGACATTTGTAAAAAAAAAACCTTATGCCAGGCAACAACACTTTTACCTCAGAACGAAATATGACTATCTTCGAGCACTTTTACAATGCTATCGCTACCGCGCAATTTCACTGTCATTTACAAGATAAAAATATCACCGCGCATTCTTCAGACCCTGTGTCGCTGTTCTAAATTTATGTCAAGAGATAAGAGTTATTTAGAAATTCTTAATAGAACTATTTAAATTTGCTAATAGCGTAATCATATTTTATACATTATTCGTATTTCATACATTGTGTGCATATATTTATATTTGATTGTAATTAAAGATTTTAAGGCGTTAGTGCCGAGTAATGCCTCTGGGTAGTGCTCCTCAATCAATCATTATGTTATATTATGTTGATAACTGTTTTGATTTGTTTTCATTTGTTCTTTTGTTCTATCTTTGCATTAGTAATATAATTTTGGTGTTCAGTAATGTTTTAAAATGTTTCGTAAAGTTTGTTTTTGTAACTATATTTATTCAGGACGTTACAGAAGGAATTGATTTAATGTAGTAGGAGGAGTCTTAACTCTCCTCACGTCCGAAAATGGCGTTTCTCTTGTATCAAATATGTATATTAATCCTAATTTACATCAAATTTTCCCAATTTTTCACCTTCGGAAGACAGGATACAGAATCAATTAGCTTTCTCAAGACATTTTATTACCAATCTGGTTATACCCTGCATGTTCCTATAAAATCTTAGAAGCCACCCAGTGTGGAGTGGCTCGATTATTTACAGTTCCGAATTCCTGTAATTTAAATCTTACTATGGAAGGATGATAAATCTAGTCTACAATTTTGGAATATGTTTAGAAAATTTCCTTTTTACCCCAGAAAAATTGATTCAAATTTCCTCTTTGGCACCAAAACTTTCCTCCGAAATCCTAAATTTCCTCCCAGATTATCTGGCGATCTGCAATCTTTTTGGATGTGGGGACACTGGTCACTGGTCACTGGTCACTTGTCACTTGTCACTCGTCACTCGTCACTGATCCTCTACACTATCTAGTGCTTCTGTCTCAGTTTATAATACACTTCCTGACCTTGTCAGTCGTCTGTTGGTGAACTGTTGTTTAGAGTTTTTAGTTTGTGAGACCTAACTTTTGTATTTTAGCTGGTTCCGTTAACCTACTAAAATAACTATATGTTATATTTACTAACCCAGCTAACTCCACGTTATTTAACAGTAAGCAATGTTAAACATAGTATAACAAGATGGGGAGTCCTCCAAAGACTTTACAAGAGATAGCAGAGGATATTAAGCGGGATATAGGCAACAAGGTTAGTCAGGGAGACTTTATCAAGCTTCTTACTTTATTAAAGTAAACCATCTTAATATGTTTTAGGGTTTATACTAAAAGTTTAGCACAGTTTGCCTCCTCCTGGCAGACTTGCTCAAAACCGTTTTAGAGTGGTTTCGTGTATGTGTTTGGTATGACGTAATGATTACAGTAGTTGATATGATGATTAACCAATAAAATTAGATCGTCAGGTAACTTTTTAGGGTTTTTATTAAAATAATGGCGCAGTTTGCGCCTTTCCCCCATTTGTGGCCCCTTGTATTGCCCCCATCTATATCTGACATAATTACTTGCTCCATCCCCGATAGTTGATTCCAATCATAGTTTTTAATAGCTTAAGGCCACAGGGGGGGGGGGTTACCTGTAATTCTATTGTAAATGCAAACTTTAGATAAGGTTTTGGCAGAAATCTATCTTCTTTTACACTTTACAGTTTACATCATGGGACCTTGTAACTTGGCAAAAGTGTTTGTCAAGGTCTTGTCCAACAGATATATGAGGCGATTTTTGATATTTTGCTCCTTAGCTGAGATATGAGGTTAACATTGAGTGCACTTTACGGCATTTTCGACAATTTTCGACAGTTAACCTCATAAAAAGAGTTAGAAGCAAAATTTTAAAAATCGCCTCATGTTTCCTGACTGATACTATCTCAGGAACATGTGTTCCAAATTTGAGCTGCAACGGATGAAAGCTCTAGGAGGAGATAGATTTTAAGGTGTTTAAAAAAAGTTAGAGTAAGGTAGAATAATACCGGTTATAGCTCGAAAATAAGCATCCTCCGTGAAAAGGTCTACAATCACGATGAGCAGATTTCGGCGGTATAATTTTACTTTGGTTGTACGCGCAAATATTCAAATCACGTAGCGCGCGGGTCATGTTTAGCTTACAGAAATGGCGGAAAAGTCTGACCGGCCCAGCAGCATGGTCCGGTTAGCTGTCTACTAGCTACCCCACGTACGTACAAAAAATTGTAATACATTTTTGCAAGGGCCCCAGGGGCCAGGAATATATTATAAACTCTTTATCTCTTCAGGTTAAATACGTCGCTCTCCGTTCAGCCGACACCGAGTTTCCCGACGTGCCTCTAGTTAATCTGACAACTTTAGAAGAGCGCGAGCTTTGCGTTGCCATCACAACCTGTGGTCTCTGTATTATTGGTCACTCCCACGACTCACTCGACGGTTTAGCTCATGTGACGAGAGACTATATAAGAGATATAGCTGACTCATCTCGGCCACGCAATCACGTGAAGCTATCTCAGCAGGTTTCCATCGCCTCAGCGGTCTATGACGAAGACATTGTGCAGTATTATGAAACTATTTATTCGCTGTTGGACGATGTAAGCCCTATGTACAGAGAGGCGTTTTGTTCAGAGCTCAGTGACAAGTTGTTGCTGTTGCAGCGGAGTCAGGAACAAAACATGAACACGAGAGCTTGAAAATTTGGTTTAAAGTGGGAAAAGAACAGAGATTGTATTGTTGATTGCTTTCATGTAAAAAATTTGTGATTTGATGTGTTCTTTATTTGAAAATATTGATTGATCATATTATTGTGTTATGTTGATAGAGCTAATGCTGTTAGATACTATTCTATAATACTTTAAATTGATTATAGCCAGAAATTGATTTCAAATTATTCCGTATCTCCTATTTTTTGTGTCGTATTTATTGTTCCTTGAAAACCTTGTGGTAACTGTGAATTTGAAGCAAAAAATGTTTGCAAATTACAATAGTAGGCCAGTTTTGACGACTAAAATTGAATGGAAAACTGATATGACCTGTGTTTCTTCGAACATATTTTTTTCAAAAAATATGGTGTGAACTTATGAAACCTATTTTTTAAAACAGCAGTAGTGGTTACCATGGTAACCGTTATCTCCAATAGGGTACCATGAAGTTGAGAAGTGGTCGTCATTTGGAGCCCAACACACAGCATAACGTTAGTCACTGTTTATGCTTGTAAGACTTGAGGATTAGTTTTTGTGATTAAATCACAACTTTCTGCCAAAATTGTTTATTCTGCCTTATCATTGAATACATTTATTCTTTTCGCCAGAATTTGTGGTTTTAAATTTTACAATCTGAACCTTTTTACCAGGTCCAACAAGGTAACGTAAATCAAACTGTTGAAAAAGAATCTCCTGACAAATCCCTGTATACAGACGCCTCTTTGATCTCAGATTGTACCCTCCCCTCCTCCCCCTCCTCCTCTAACTCCTCCTACTCCACCGCTGCATCTCGATCCCCTTCTCCGCACATCTACTTCGACCCCGCTGATAACTACGAGATAGGTAATATGGAGAGTGGAGATGAAACTGACGATGAAGACGACCCTGTTCTGGAGGTACCTTCCTGGGTCTCCGATATCGGATCCTACCTTGATTATCAGTTTGTAACCATCTCACATACTGACATATTCGGTCCTTACCCATCTCCGGATCTGGATTTGTTGTTTGAGACTAAGAGGCCTCAATTTAAAAACAGGACTAGTTCAGCAGTTTGGAGCAGCGTTCCGGTTAAATGTGGGGATCTGCCGGCAGATTCTAGTGGCCTTGATTTTTCAACTCTTACCATCGAGGAGCTAAGTGAATAAGTTTTTTTATTTGTTTTGAAGATTATTTGTTTTTATTTTTATGATGTAAGGATGAAGTCGAGTCCCTTTATTCGATATTCTATATTGTTGGTTTATAGATTTTTATGGTTTTATGACACATGTATTTGTTAAAGTTATTCAATATTTCTTATGTTGTCGACCGAAAATGAGGTTGTCCATTCAGTGCGATACTATTTAATAAATTCCTTTATCGTTACTGTTTTTCATTGCTTATTAATCAATTTTAAACCTTAAATGGTGAAATGTGAGCAGATCCGCTATGGACCCACTACAGTACAAATGGATCTTTCGCTAACCAAAAATCTAGAAAACTTTAATGTTTCCTGCACATTTAGACATTTGATCCCCATTGTTTCAGAAAAGGTTTTAACTAGAAAATGATTCCGCAACAATTAATTCACCAAACTGAAAGAACTCGTTTTATAGGATGATGGCTCGAGCCTGTCCAGTGCCGAATGGAGAAGTTAACACTAAACCTCCGCAAACTGGAACCCCAATCGTCACCACAACCGATGAGAATGCTGTTCAAACTGCGAGTGATATTTTGTGCAGGGGAGGGGTGGTTGCCTTGCCAACTGACACCATATATGGTAATGATTTGCTTTCTGATAGACTTTGTCAGACTCAAAAAATGGATTAACCAATAAATTTCTATGCGAATTAGCTTAAAGATTGCACACTCTTTACCACATTTCTATAACTAATTTCTTTCCTGCAAACTGGTATGAGAATCATTTTGTTCTTGATTTGATAACTGAATTTTCTTAGGTGTCTGCTGTGCAGTTAACAACACTAACGCGATAAACAAGATCTATCAGATAAAAGGAAGATCGTTCAGCAAACCTTTGGCCATCTGCGTTTCTTGCGTCCAGGAAATTCCAAAGTATGGATGAAAGTAAGCTCAAAAGTAGACACAAATAGGCCGGTATCCAAGAAGTTCAATGACCTGGAATTGAATACATGTTATGTACAAGGCAGTCCCCCTCCCTTGTTTCTGTCGATAAAATCTGTTTCCAACTTCAACTGTACCAATCGACTTTTGGTTACGAGATCACCGGCCAATAACACTTAATATTAGCCTCAAATTTCGAACATAGCCAAGAGTATTGATGTTTGAGCTGAATCTATAGACCAGTTTAAGATTGCTCTAATTTTGTCATGAATTGTGTCGGCCTTCTTGGATACTGCCACAATCTAAAAGTATCATGTTGGTTTTGGAAATACAATAAACGAACTTGACTAATTGTATAAGATAATATTCTTCCATCGAAGCATTGGCTGCATCGAACATACTTCAACAACCCAAATCACGATACATATCATTATAGCACCTCATAAAACTTCATTAAAGTCCTCGATAAAGATTACACAATATTCTACCACCTAATATACCCAGGTGTGTGGATATAGGCGGCTCAGAAACAATCCTTTCCAAACTTCTTCCCGGTGGAGTGACAATAGTCCTGCCCCGTACCTCCAGCCTCAACCCAGCACTCAACCCAGGATTTCAAACTGTGGGGGTCAGAGTCCCTGACTACCACTTCGTGTTGGACCTCTGTACTGCTGTGAGGGGACCTATTGCTCTGACCTCCGCTAACATATCGAATGGTCCTAACTCTACTTGTATCGAGGTAATCTGTAATAGTTTATTCTTAAGTGCGATTATGTAGCTATCTGCTATATCCATGGAGGTATAAGTCTTCTTCTGGACTCATTTACGACTACGAGTCAGTAACAGTTGACGTGAACTGTCGATCAACGTCGTTTCACCTTGTAGTTATAATTATTGAGAAAAAGCTCATTATAAATCAAGAGGCTTGCATATAATGAACTTATTGACATGGGTGCAGAGTTGAGTCTGTACGGAACCCAGTAGTTTCAGTTCCTTGTTTAACTTGCCGTACAGCAAGGACATCCACTACTTTAGCCAGGCGGGGCACATATCTAATATCTATGCCATGTCTCAAATTATCATAAAAATGCTGTCCCCCTCCATTTCAATGTTGAACAGTCAACATAATATGTTCTATCCTGTTTAGGAGTTTAAAGAAATCTGGGATGATTTAGATCTGATCGTGGACGGAGGACAGTTGCCGCTGAGCGTGGGGAGTACTGTTGTGGAGATATCTGATCATTCCTTCTCCGTCATCCGACCTGGCAGGTATGAGTTACAACTTAGAGTTAGTACTTAGAGTTAGAATTTAGAGTTAGAACTTAGAGTTAGAACTTAGAGTTAGAACTTAGAGTTAGAACTTAGAGTTAGAACTTAGAGTAAGAACGTAGAGTTAAAACTCAGAGTGAGAACTTAGAGTTAGAACTTAGAGTTAGTACTTAGAGTTAGAACTTAGAGTTAAAACTTAGGGTTAGAACTTAGAGTTAGAACTAAGAGTTAGAACTTAGAGTTAGAACTTACAGTTAGAACTTAGAGTTAGAACTTAGGGTTAGAACTTAGAGTTAGAACTTAGAGTTAGAACTTAGAGTTAGAACTTAGAGTTACACCTTAGAGTTACAACTTAGAGTTACAACTTAAAGTTACAACATATTATTGTGATTTACTGTTAGTTTTTACCAATTTACGATTTATATTTACGTGTGTGATGTAGTTTGGATTTTTATTGGAATAGGAATTATTTTATGAAATCCAACGTATATGTGTCTTCGTAGATCAATTTAAATGTTGGTTGAAAGAACTATGGATCAATACCATATTTAGTCAGAGCACGAGATGAATTCTCCTCCTCTAATTCTGTAATACGAGTAGGTTCACTTTTTAAGTAATTATCAACAACTTTTTTTGACTAAATGTGGTATTGTTCAATCGTCTCTTCAACTGAATTTTCGACCAACTTCCAGTCGAACAATAAATGCACACATATGTCATCAAAACAGATTTTGTTTATTTCCACACGATTACTAATGCCAAAAGGAATACATTACTTGGCACATGAGAAGGCAGCAGTTTAACCTTAATATTTTTACTATTTGTTCATTAAATCCACGACAAATTGTAACGAACACCGGTTTTTAAGTTGAATGGTTAAGTGTTGAAACTTGAAACAAGTTGTGATGACAGACCCAGCCTTTGTTAGTAAATATGTGCGATGACTTAACCTACCCATTATGTGGAACGGAGTAACATATTACAAAGCACTTTTGCAACATTATTATCAACATTTGCAACATTATTATCAACATTTGAATCCCAATAACTCCTTTCACTTTAACCCAACCCAGGTATAAATGCATGGAAATGCGTTTAGTTTGTCTGTTGAATGGCGTCAAGAGCTTTAGCATAATGTTAATGAACACTTTACACGTATTTTTAATTCAGACGGTTCAACTCAATATTCATATTTAGATGCAAATAACATGGGGTGAAAAGCCATAATAACATAATATTACTATTGAAATGAAATGAAATGAAATGAAATAATGTGCTTGTATACCGCCCATATGGTTAGCAACTGACACAAGTGCCAGGTACTAACCATGTCAGAGCGGTTCTAAAGGGTGAGGTGAAAATATCCAGCAACAAACAACTAAATCATCTCAAAAACAAATCTATTTAGGAAAAATTAAAACTTTAAATATATCATATAGTAATCATAAGAAGATTTATTGATATATACCACACTACGATTAACAATAAACCACCAAAAAAACTCTTCAAAAGTAACATAATTTACTTATAGGAATCAAAAGAAGGATTATTAATATGTTAATACACATTGCACTAATAAATAAAGATACACCCTACAACAAATCATAAGACCAAAGAAAAAACAGCACTAATCACATACGGTCATATAAATAATGTTTAAGGGTACCTTTGAAACTGTCTACGTTGCGTAGTGATCGTATCTTCCAGGGAAGTGAGTTCCAAGCAGTTGGTGCATAGTTGGTGAATCGACGTTGATCAATCTTACTATTTGTAGTTTTAGGAGTCTTTAGTCTGTAACAATCTCCTTCTACTTTTGATCTAGTACTTATACTAGCTATTGTCAATGGGTTTTCAATCACTACAAGATTCTGTATGTAGGCCGGTGCAATCCCATGCACAGCTTTATAAGTTAACAGGCAGACTTTAAAGAAAATCCTTTGGTCAAGAGGAAGGATATGTGCTCTCTTGTAGTAGGGAAGTAGGTCTTCTGATCGGTCTTTGATATTGTAGATGAACCGTATGGCACCATTGAGGGTTGATCGTAGCTTGTTTAGTCGTGTCTTTGGTAGGTTCATGTAAAGAGAATTACAGTAGTCGAGCTTTGATATTACAAGCTGTGTTACCATCATGAGTTTCACTCCTTCATCCAGATAGCGCCCAATCGTCCTTAGATTCATCATTGTCCAGCTGCATTTCTGTTTGACACTATTAATTTGTCTTTCCATGGTAAGAGACTTATCAAACTTTACCCCAAGACTCTTCCAGCTGTCACCTTTACATTCAGTTGGAGTGATAGTTGTGTTTCCGAACTGAATCGTCACCTCCATTTTGCAGTCTTTAAGAACTTTTGATTTGCCTAGGACAAGTAGTTCTGTCTTCGACTCATTGAGTTTCATAAAGTTTCCAACCATCCAATGCTTGATTTCCGAGAGACATCTATTTATCCGATCTTTGACATCTGCAAGTTCGCTTGGGAAGCTTGGATGAAAAGATATGTATAACTGAGAGTCATCCGCATATAGCTGGATGTCTAGTCCAAATTTGGCAGCAATATTCTGAAGGTCTTTAATGTAGAGTATAAACAAGATGGGCCCTAGTAGGGATCCCTGAGGGACTCCAAAGAGGAGTTCAAGAAGAGACGAGATAGTATCGCCAATCTTTACACAGAAATATCTGCTCTCAAGGTATGATCTCATCCATTGAAGGGCTTTCCCAGTTACACCATAATGCTTGAAAAGTTTCTCAAGGAGGATTTCGTGATCAATAGTGTCGAAAGCTGCACTGAGATCCAGGAGTACCACAGCCACGATGTTACCTGCTTGAATCTCCTTGTTTATGTCGTCAGTCATCCTGACAAGAAGGGTCTCACAGCTGTGCTGTGGGCGGTATCCAGACTGGACAGGGCAGTGAAGGTTGTTTGTGTCCAGATGGTCATTCAACTGGTTCAGTACAATTCTTTCCAGGAGCTTGGATATAGCAGAAAGGTTCGATACTGGTCTATAGTTACTTAAACTGTCAACATCAGCGTTCTCTTTCTTAAGGGTTGGCTTAATAACCGCTTTCTTCATTTGAGAAGGAAATGATCCTGTCTCAGTAGACGTGTTTAGGATGTGCAGGAGTACAGGTGTTAGCTCATCCACACAGCTCTTCAGTAGGAATGAAGGAATGGGATCCAGACAGCAGAACTTGTTACTCATCATTTTAACCAGTTTTCTGAGGTCTTCAGCACTGATAGGGGAAAACGTGTGAAGAGTTGAAACAAAATCAGGTTCACTTGAAAGAGCAAGTGTTTCCTCCGGGACATTTTTGGATGCATCCAATTCAATGTCTTTCCGTATTTTGTTAACTTTCTCAGCAAAGAAGTCTTTGAAATCCTCTGACAGTTTTACAGGGTCTTGATGTTTGGGGAGATCCTGTGTCTCGTTACCAAGAAGTCTGTTAAGCTTCTTGTAAAGGGCCTTTGAGTCTCCTGATGATGCTCGAAGCGACTCTTTGTTATAGGAACATCTCTTCACAAACTCTAAACTAACAAATCTATCTCTGAGATATATGTAGTCTTTCCTGGTACCCTTTCCTTTGCGCCATGCACGTTCGGCTGCTCTCCTCTTTTGACGTAGCAAACTAAGGTCTAAGTCAAGCCACGGCATGGGTTTCTTCCGAAATTTCTTCTTTATAACAGGACAGTGCTTATCCATGAGTTGAGTAAGGACAGAGTTATACAGTGAAGTCGCTTCTTCAGCAGTTAAAGTTGGATCAATAGTTGACAGGTTGGAATTCCTTAGATCATCCTTAAAAATTTCAATGTCTATGGATTTGAAATTTCTGTAGCTCAGAAATTTGCCATTATCATTCTTACTAAGTCGAGTGTCAACATCGAAGAGTACTAGAAAATGGTCTGAGGAAGTTCTTGACTGAACAATGTTAAAATTGCTGATCTTGTTCTCAAGAGACTGGGTAGAGATCACTAGGTCCAGGGTACCGCCCTGATTATGAGTTGGGACTATTGGAACATGTTGTCGGAGGTTGTACTGAGCTAGCAAGTCCAGAAACTTCTTTGGATAGTGTTCATCGGGTCTTTCAACATGAAAATTGAAATCCCCAGTCAAGAGAGGGTTTCCTGGCTTTGCACACAGTATTTTAAGGTATTCTTCAAACTCCTTTAGGAAGTCACATTCTGTGTACCTTGCTTTCTTTGTGTAGGGGGGTCGGTAGATGTTTACTAGTCTCAGCAACTCTGATTCAGCACTCAGAAGTGATTCCATCACTTGAAATGACTTAAACTTGGTCACTTTGGTATTAGGCTTCAGTTCAATCGAACTTCTGTAAACCATTGCTATACCACCTCCACTGCGGTGTTTTCTAGGATCAGAAAGTATGCTCCAGCCACTATCTTTTATCTCAGTGAGTTTTGCTTTGTCGCCATCTCGAAGAAATGTTTCTTGCATAAAACAAATGTCACAGTCTGTTTCCCACAAATGTTCTAAAACACCAACAGTCTTGTTTAAAAGAGATCGGACATTGAAAGTTCCACATCTCAACTTCTTCCTAGTCTCATCTTTTGGTCCTTGACCCTCTGGCGATAGGCGTTTTTTATCTGCTCCGTGCATCCTGCAGTTCTAGGCATGACTCGTTCTTTTTCTCTTATAAAGAATGGACAAAGATTATCAGCAGCTTTATGCGTCTTTGCAGCATTTTTCTCTGTGGCACTTTTACTATTAAAGCAGTTAGAACACTTTATCCGATCAGTCCTATTTTTTATCCTGTTTTCACAGTCTTTAGAAGTATGTGCTCCAGCACAGTAGAAACATGTAGGAGAGGCATCTTTTAGCTTGCAGTACTGTGACTTTGCCATATGGCCAAATTGCTGGCAGTGGTAACATTGTACTACATTTTTTTTTTTTTTTTTTTTTTTTAAGAGAGGCTGGGCCTGGTTGGCCCACGAGAGGATAGCATATGAATGCTTTGCCTACCTCTGGGGTATGGCAGTCCTGTGGGAGGATGCCAGTGGAATCAAGATGTGTAATCAAGGATGATGGTAAGTGTTGTGGGGTGTGTCATAGATAAACGCTTAAGTGGTGGTTGAGTGTGGAAGAGAGAGGCGAAATAAGACGGCGTTAAAGTAGTCGCTATGTTACACCTGTCTGGTCCAACTCCTCTGGCACCACTAAGCGTTTAGTGTGGTTTGTAAAGTTGACAATGGTGGAGATGTGTTGGTTGTCGAATATGTCATTGACAGAGAGGTAGTAGTCCCGGAAATATTGACCTCTTATTTGGGCAATAGCCGGGCACTGTCCGAGAAAGTGTGAGACAGTCTCCTCTTCGTCGCCGCATTTAGGACAAGCACTTGTGTCTGATTTGCGAATGGTGTGTAGGTGTTTGTTGAGGCCACAATGTCCCGTGATGAGGTGCACTGCAGTTCTATAATTTTGTCTGTTGTTACTGAGTGTAGTGTTGAGATTTTTGATGATGTTGATGTTTTTATGTCCAAGTGTCAGTTTAGTGTGTCTGGGACCATCAGTAATCCATGATTCTTGATTAAGTTTTGTGACTTTGTCGTTGATCAGGCGTTTGATGTAAGATTGTGGAATTGGGCAATTCAAAGTGGATTCACTGGTTGTACCATTTTTGGCCAGCTCGTCTGCTTTTTCATTACCCCACAATCCAATGTGTGCAGCTATCCATCTGATCTCTAAGGTGTTAGTGGATCCGAGTGTATTGAGGGTGTCGTAACAGTCTCTAGTAGTCCTACTCCTCGTTGAAGGTGAGGATATGGCTTGAATAGAGGAGAGACTGTCTGACCATATGATGATGTGTGTGTTTGTATAAGTTGATAGATATTTACAAGCTTCGATGATGGCAGTGAGTTCTGTTTGATAAACGGTGCAATAATCGGGAAGCTTGAATGATCTTTCATCTAGTGTAATTGTACTACATGGAGTCGGTCATATACACGATGTCTTTGTAGGCCCAGGTATATATAGTCACCACATTTTCTGATGACTTCTCTAGCCTCTATGGGCAGTTGAATGACAGCAAATTTTTCTTTGATATCATAGTAGACTACTTTGACATTAGCATCCTTCATACCTGTGTTCTTTTCCAATAGTTCATCAAGGATCTTTTCTTTGCTGTCAAAATCAAGGTGAATGTCAGATATTGTTAGTTTGGGATCTAACTTCTTTGGTTCTACTGACTTTGAATTGACTTTAACTGACTTACACTTTTGTGTCAGCGCTCTTTCCGCTTCTTTCATGTCATCTTCAGTAGTAAAACTCAGCACTGTTGTACCATTACTTACCCGTTCATCTTTAACTCGGACACCTTTAAGAGATTTCTTCACGTCCTTACGATAAACTTCGGTCCATTCATGGTTAGTGATAGTAGTCTCTGTATCATCCTCGTTCACTGGTGACTTGGCTATAGTAATCGTGTGCCTTGCTGGCAGGGGCTTCTCTATTGGAAGGTTAGCTTGCAGGGATTCCGCAGGGGAAATGGCAGCCACTGAAATAGCTTCTTTCAGAAGATTAGGTAGGACTTCACTCAATTGTCTCTTAATTATGTTTTCTAGAGTTTGGCTGTCCTGTTCCGGAAGGGGGACAAGTGAGGTCTTTGCTAGATCAATAGCTCTGGTTGCAATGATGTATAGTTCTTTACAAACCTTGAAAATATGTTCTTTGTTGTTGCTGGTGGGTATATCTGTTAAAATCTTTGCTTCGTGGAGTGTTTTCTTACCTTGAAAGGACTTTTCGTTGATTAGGTCGAGCTCTTCTTCCAGTTTCTTCAAGTCATCCATATCTGCTAATGAAATCAAGGTCCTATACCCAAGATAAGCTGTAAGTTTTTAGAAAAACTTAAACAGCTACAGTAACGTAGATCTGGGTGTGTATGATAACAACTTAACAATAGAAACCTCAAATTATTTGTTATATAGTAGTGTTGAAAGTATTAAAACACTTTATTATTAACACTTTATCGATTCTAACATTTGTCGCACCACTGTTCCCTGATATTTATAGGTAATATGAAGTGTCAACATTCAGTCTATTTTAGGTCTGGGTTATAGAATATAGTTGAGCTGCGACTGATGTTATTCTTTCAGAGATTACGAAAAGACGCTCAAAGTACTATCAGAGGAGCACCATCTTGAAAATAGATCGTCCAGGGTTTCGTAGTACAACTTTGGAGAATGGATAGTTTTTAAGTTACATCATCCAGTCGGTTAAACTTATTTATGGAAGTTAAATGTTGATGGTAATTTTCTTTTACTTTCTTTGTGACAATTCATTGTTTCAATTATCAAAAGTCAAACTTGTAACGGCTTACGGCTCCATACAAAACATGATCAAACATTTTGCAAATTGACGGTTCTGAAGCGGAGTGATGATTTGGTGAAAATTGTTTAAATCTGATTTCATAATTCATCCTGAGTGACAAATCATCACCGGTCATCCACTGTATATGTTCTTATTCAATAACTACTCTATTATTCATTCAGAATGACCACCTCTGGTCAAAAATAGGTTTTACACAACAAAGGCTAGAAACAGCCATTCGGTGGAAATTACTGGCAATTTTCCAGGCCGCAGGTCCCATGATTAAATGCTCGGCTCGCGCGCAGGCGTTTGTTTACATTTTGCATACATTGCGTCGGTTTTGGCAATACTGTACAACAGCCGCGTGTTCCGTCTTCCACGCCCTGTAGACTCTCTCGTGACGTAACGTCCTTAGTTGGAGGGCTGCCAATTTTCATCCAAGTTAGGCATGTCGAAAGTAAACAATTTCCTGTGTTGTTAAGTCGTATGCTGAAATCTAAGTACGAAATCATACACGAAACTTCCGGCAAGAATAATGATTGGTAATACAGTAACATAACATTCTTTTCTAAAATGAAAATCGGTGTGTTGCGTGCAGTCACGACATTTTTTTTGACATAAATACTCATGAAGTTCGATATGGAATCGATTTTGAAAGCAATGATAAAAAGTTAAAACAATAAATAGTCTACAATTTTCGTTGGAAACAAAAAGTTAAAAGATACCAAGGGAAGTAGTAGCTTCCCCGAATATGTTATAAAGAGCTTGCCTAGTTCAGAGTATTTTCCACGGATTTTGCCCATATAATAACAACATAATCCACAAGTTGGGCAAGCCTGGGCTGATTCTGCGGAATCGTGCTCATATCAGCTGTTGAAATATTCTTATTTGCTCTGCTTAATAACTGACAATACGGCTAGGAAAGTGCTGATCTGTTGCGAAATAGAGTAATATACGATTAGATCATCATCCAACAGCTCGTCACAAAACGTACTGTCAGAATATATAGGTTTAGGCGGAAGAACTGGGCAAACTCTTTTGTTTATTTTAATGCTTTAAATGCTGGCTTTTGTGTCTAAACCGTAAAATGATTCAAATTCAATCAATCGTTCTGATTCAAGGCCGATAACATTTTTATAAAACTTTTAGACCCCATCCAAACTTTTAAACCCCACATAACCAAGGGTTAACTCCCTACCCTGCCCAACATTTCTGTATTCCCATAACCCTGCTTAAGGTAAAACCCCTTTAACTTTATACTTTTTAACAATAAAAATCAGTCCCTAAATTGTTCAGTATCGGCCTATATCTACTCTTTATATTAACAATCCAGATTAAATAATTTTAACAAGAAAAGGCCACGTCCTTTATTAAAAGTCGTGGATCGACGTAAGACTGCTGAAATTTTCACCCTTCGGGTCAACGAAAATGTAAAAAAATATGCATTAATAAAGGCCGTTTTATCAAACGAATTGGAGTAAAAAACTCTAGGGATACGGAGAGGACAATTCAGACAAGGAGGCAGTTTCCTTTTAAAGCGACAGCAAGGGGTTCTGCCCGGATAATTGAGAGAAAGTTTCAGCAGCATAACATTAAACCTTATAAAAGCGCAAACCTTGAAAAAAGGAAAGTTTGCGATTTATTCCATAGAAAAAAGTCTGCATAATCTTAAATTCATAAATCACCCAAAATCTGGGTACGTAATTTTGAATCGCATCATAGATGTTGCTATTCTTGGGTATTAGCCATGCACGTTTGCCTTCACGGGTAACAGCAGCTTGTGTAAAATTGGATGATTAAATACTTTATATAATAATATTTATAATAAGCAAACGTGAAATGTGGCCCTACGAATAGCAACTTCTATACATACGAAGATTTGCTGAATAATTTGTTAATATTATAAGGTGATTCACCGATTTTAAATAAAATAGAAATAATAAACTTTTTGTAAAAGAACTACAATTGATAATGACTAACCACAGAAACCTGTTTTTTGTTAGGTTTGTTCACATCATTTGAAAATGTAACTCAACTTTCGGTTAGGGCAAGCCCCAACAATCAACCCATGCATTTGTGGTATAGCTAAGGCCACAGAAATTTGTTTAGGATCAAGTTTATCAAATATTTGATTTATGCAAATTGATAATCATTAATCATTATAAAATAGTCGCACATATGAAATTTTGCACTTTTAAGGACCATGATAATGATATGAACAAACCAAACCACAGGCTACCAAGGTGTATGTATCTTGCTGACTCGGGATAGAACACGTTTTACAATATGAGTTAGCTTTAAAAAGTTCTCTTAATCCTGTAAAATCTTACCAATCAATTCTTGATTAACACCAATTAGAACCGACCAGAGAAAATTATACGCTAATTATAGGCTAGGGTTTTAAAACTAAATAGAGTAATCACGAGTAGGTTCTCGTGAGAAAAGTTAAAATACTAAGTTAATAAAAGTCGTCTGATAAGTAAACTGCACCTTTAGTAGTAGAAAAAACATGACGACGTAAACTTATTCTTCAGTATAATCCTCATCAGTTCAATTCTTATCAGTATAATCCTTATCAGTTCAATCCTTATTAACAGGGTATGTTCATCAAACCGTTACTTGGTCTCTGTAAAGTATGACTGGTGGATCGCTTGAAGATATTATCAGTTATCAGTCATTTCAACGACCATTAGATTAACCAACAACGTATCAAAAACAACATCCTTACAACTCAATCACGTCCTTTTGTTCAAACATCAATACTAATTCTTAAAACGCATGCGATATATAATATAGTTGTTCCATGAACATTAAGTTTTCCACGGTTCAAATCATTAAATCTAGGGTGGCGGCATCCCGGCGGTTTAGATAATTGTAGAGCTAGTCAGTGTTGATCTTGAAGACTGACAGATGGGGCTTGATGAGGTGGTAGTCGAGGGAGCCACAATCCTCGCACTGGAGCTGTTGAGCGAACCAAGAAAAGGAGGCCTCTACTCCGGCCTTTAGAACCTGAAATGTTTGTGTTAGAAACGTCAGAGGATGTTAAATAAGTTGGGTAGGCACTAGGCAGGTACGCGTGACGCAGTTTAAGGTTTAATCGTTATCGTTAATAATACATAACATAAAATATAATGTTACATAATATAATAATGCATACAAAATTACATAATATGATAATGTAATACTGCATATTCTTATATTTGAAGAATTCTGAACTATACCCAGGTAAAATGCCCCTCTTAAGAGGAACTACAAAAATACTAACGTTTGCACTGCAGGTGTTGCACTGAGTACGCTTAGCACAACAGGGGTTAGCGGCAAAAATGTCAAAACTGTAGAGGGTCCCCAGTTGGAACAGGTCTCCTTGCCATTCCTCCTTGCAGAACTTGCAGTGTACCTATTAGGGAAGTGATTTTAATCTTTCTAGAACTTCTACCCGTTTCCTCTGGAACTTTGCCAGCTAATATCGGAACATTTACAGAGTATTTCATATGTAATGGATAAGTGAAGTGTGACCATAATTAAAGAGGGTGAAAGTTTTCGGGTGGAAAACTTGCTACAATATATTCATCCACATGTGGTGACAATATGTGTTAAATTCTGCATAATCGAACTTTCCAGACTTTCTGTCACAACTCATTCTACTTAGCGTAATTAAACAGCGTTAAACATTGGCTAACCTCTTGTTTTTAATTAAAACATTGGCTAACCTCCTGTTTTTAATTAAAACATTGGCTAACCTCTTTTTTTAAATTAAAACATGGGCTAACCTCTTGTTTTTAATTAAAACATGGGCTAACCCCTTGTTTTTAATTAAAACATTGGCTAACCTCCTGTTTTTAATTAAAACGTTGGCTAACTTGGAGAGGGATTATTTAAAACATATAAGTGATACGAAAAGTTTCTTTTTAGCAGGAGCTTTCAAAATACATGTGTAAATCGTCTTCAGCTGGGGATGATGTAGTGAAGGGGTGATTATATAATATGATGTAGTGGTGTCAATGATGATTGATGAGTGGTGTGTGACGTGCAAGGGTGGAGTGGGGAGGGTGGAAAAATATTTTAAGTTTACAATACAATAACATTCAAATTAAAAAACTAGGCTTCTGAGGTAGATGAAAAGGAAATGCCAGATGGCCTGGGCTTTACAGATGAAGCAATCTTGGGAGATGAAGCAATCTTGGGAAGGATGGGGTCCCATAGTGAGCTACATTTGGGGGCACGATCAGTTCTGTTCATGGAGGGTTGTCTTATCTGAATAGCGGCGTGTTCTGTCAGGTCAAGTTGAGATCGTGTTGTGAGGGATTTGAGGACTTCTATGTTGTTTCAAGAGATGGAATGTCCAGTGGTCAGGGCATGATTGGCTAACCTCCTGTTTTTGATTAAAACATTGGCTAACCTCCTGTTTATAATTAAAACGTTGGCTAACTTGAAGGGGGATTATTTAAAACATATAAGTGATACGAAAAGTTTGTTTTTAGCAGGAGCTTTCAAAATACATGTGTAAATCGTCTTCAGCTGGGGATGATGTTGTGAAGGGGTGATTACATATGATGTAGTGGTGTCAATGATGACTGATGAGTGGTGTGTGACGTGCAAGGGTGGAGTGGGGAGGGTGGAAAAATGTTTTAAGTTTACAATACAATAACATTCAAATAAAAAACTAGGCTTCTGAGGTCGATGAAAAGGAAATGCCAGATGGCCTAGGCTTTAGAGATGAAGCAATCTTGGGAAGGATGGGGTCCCATAGTGAGCTACATTTAGGGGCACGATCAGTTCTGTTCATGGAGGGTTGTCTTATCTGAATAGCGGCGTGTTCTGTCAGGTCAAGTTGAGATCGTGTTGTGAGGGATTTGAGGACTTCTATGTTGTTCCAAGAGATGGAACGTCCAGTGGTCAGGGCATGATTGGCTAACCTCCTGTTTTTGATTAAAACATTGGCTAACCTCCTGTTTTTAATTAAAACATTGGCTAACCTCCTGTTTTTAACTAAAACATCATTATATAATGCAACATGTTCAGTATTTTGGTCTATGTGTGGTAGTGTGGTACAAGTAATTAGTAAATCCTCTGAGGAACTAAATGTAACGTACCTTAGCAGAGTAGCCATGAAGGCAGCCCACGCACACAGCACACAGGTATCTATTGTAACCGTTATGTTGAATCTCTATTGAGCTCTTGTGGGACTTGTGGACTGAGAGGAAGAATGTTCCTGAAATAGTTAGGGTAAAGGAGGAGAGGCTACAATTAGTTGCAGAGGCTATGCGGATCCACATAATTTGGCATTTTCCACATATTTCCACGTAATTTGGCGTTTAAATTTGGTATTTTCTTCATGTTTTCGCAGTAGTTTTTACATTCGTTGCAATTAGCAAGCTCTCTTATCTTTTGTTGAAGTTGTGATTAAAGAAGTGTGGACGATCTGTTTACACCGGAGTATACACCCAGTATACTCCATCAGTATACACCCAGTATACTCCATCAGTATACACCCAGTATACTCCATCAGTATACACCCAGTATACTCCATCAGTATACACCCAGTATACTCCATCAGTATACACCCAGTATACTCCATCAGTATACACCCAGTATACTCCATCAGTATACACCCAGTATACTCCATCAGTATACACCCAGTATACTCCATCAGTATACACCCAGTATACTCCATCAGTATACACCCAGTATACTCCATCAGTATACATCCAGTATACTCCATCAGTATACACCCAGTATACTCCATCAGTATACACCCAGTATACTCCATCAGTATACAACCAGTACAGTCAGCCTTAAAACAGCACCTATCTTATTTGGCGGACTGTGATGAACCGCTCAATTGCCCATCAGGTAAGAAGTTAACAGTGATACAATGTAACAAAGAACTGATGTTCGGAAATGCGGGTAGTTAATCTGAACAAGAGATCAGTACTGAATTGGAGAAACTTTGCGAATAAACGGCTGGAATCTGTTCATATTTTGGATGATTAAAGTGCTCCTCGACTGTAATAAGGAGCTAAGGAGGCGTGCTGAGCAGTGAGCATCAACGTTTGACCAGGACTAGATCTTTTACTTTGACGGAATCAGGTTATAATGAAAAATAAGGAGCTCCTTTCAGTACAGAGTGCAGTTCAGTCAGCTGATATTGTTTTTCATATTTTTATGAGATACAATTGAAAACGATAAATGATTGAGGGGCACAACTTGTAAAACCGCCTTAATACGTATAATTCAATTTAAAAGTTAAAACACACATAAGGAGTGGCCCTTTAAATTCTCGATAATACTTGTCAAAAGTCAATTGTGAATGTATGACGGTGCTTGACAAACAATACTTGGTCAAAATACTTGATGTCTGAGATTTGACGTCCTACATTTCTCACTGTATCAATAATTGTACAGCCTAGGTATGTTTGAAATGTATAAAAATGCTAGAAAAACTAAAGCAATCACCATGAAAGCCACGGTAATCGAAAAAAGATCAATCTTTCTGCCACGACTTATTGCAGTAGTAAAATATCTTAAGATTCGAGTACCCCAATACAATTTGATCTAGAAATAAAAGAAGCCAAAACATTCCGATTGGGCTAGAATATTCAGGGTTGTGAGTGAAGTACATTATGTTCCGATCATACATATTCAATTAATATACATCCACTTCCAGCAGCGAAGGAGTAATCAGAAATCAGAGCTGGAAGTTTCTATAACCTCTCCTAACAACTACCAGTCTAATCTAACACACAATACAGAATATAACCGGGTGGTCCTGTCAACATAGTTACAGTATCCTCACTGAACTTCACATACTTCTCATTCTCCAAATACTTTATAACATCCTCAGGATTATCCTCTGTTGTTACCGACCAAAACACTCCACCACAACTCATATCAGCGAATATATCCACACTTGTAGCGCCGGTAGCTGCTGATAACAAATCAAACACATTCGAAGTGTCTAATGTTTTGATGGCAGCAACAAACTCCTCCTTACTCTCCTCCTTCACAGAGAACCTGGTTGACATCCCTATCTTTTTAGGAGTATCCATCGCGGATAGTATCTCCTTCACTTCCCCTTGAGTAAGGAGTTTTAACCCTCCGTCCGAGCTAGAGTCATCAACACTTGTATCTCCTGCTTCCTTGTTTTTAGAGTTTTTCCCGCCCATGATACTAGGGGGTGTAGCTCTCAGATAGAGAATATAAGAGTTAAGATACCCCGGTGTAGTAGAAACATAATGTATTGTATATTAATTTAACAATAATTAGTGCCAGGTAACACGATGGAATACTACTGGATGAAAAAAATTGATAATTTAATTTACAACCTACGAAACTCTTTTATGATCACTATAAAAAGCCATGCATATTTCTTATTTTATTTTAATTGCATGTGTGTATTTTCATTGTATTTGTAATCAATACGTTCAGTGTAATTAAGTTTATATAAAATTTCCTTGTTAAATGAACTTAGATAAGAGGTTAAATTCTGTGAATCTACGACGATTTACAAGGTAAACGCGAACAATACACTGTAAATTTGTATATTACATCAACGAAAATAAAACTGCGAAAGTAGAACCTCTGAACATACGAACATACCATTACCAAGTACATGCAACTACATGATAGTATATAGCTTAAGAAAACCACGAAGTACCCAACAGTCTCCAGTCAGAGCTACATAACCAAGAGAAAATGTATGATTGCATAGTGTATTGTTTAGTATAGTGTATAGTATACATAATATAGTGTATTACTGTTCAACTGTACTTCATTGCAGTTCACCTCACGGCAATAAGGTAATCTAATGTAGGAAGGTGAGTTCTGTTAGAGTAAAACATCAGCTATAAAAACACTTGATAAACCATGATGCTACTAGACCTAACCCAAGTTAGAAAATCGTTCAAGTAACACGAAAGGGACGCTTCCTATGGGTCACAGATTTTCCTGCGATATTGATGCATTTATAGATTTCGTAGTCTTACAGTGTCATCTCCCTTAGTGATATCATGTGCAGATTTTAACAAGTTTGCAGATAAAAGTGCAGCATTGAATTAATAACTTGAATTTCGGGTGGTTCAGCTGCAAATGATAAATTAAATTACAAGCTTACAGTAATAATGTTTAGTAATTGTCTCAACTTGTTGTTTTGATACATTATATTGCATCAATTGTCAAGACGGTTTACCATTATTATCGTTGATACCGTGAATAACTATTAACTATCACATAATATATTCGATAGTCGACACAATAAAACTGCTAATATTACAACACATAATAATCCTATTGTTATTTCTAGCGTTTCGTGACTAGTATAATAATTTCAACATTACGCGAATATTAACTTACCATCAATAAGAGGGTATCTATCGTAGACTGGTAAAGATCTAAGGCAAAGTAAGCAGTGTACTGTGTGAACCTGTAACGTGGTATTTTTTTAATCATTATTGCTTTTCATTGATGGGCATATCGAAAAACATGGCGTAGCCTATTCGACTGTTTTAGTAGTATTTTTAGTAAAAGGATCCAAAAACAATTTGTTAAATCATAACACATGTGAAAAACCTTATGACTGGTTAGATTGGAGAGCACAAAGTTCCTGTTCTCATCATAATTGCCACCATAAGTCTCATCTTCCATTTTGATGTGGTACGGGTTAAGCTTCTGTTTAGGTAGGGCCACCAGGAATGCGTGGTAGTCTGAACGTCTGTAGGATAAAGTAAAGTTATTCGATGTGTGAACAAGCTAAAGAAACTAATATTCTTACTGTTTGGAACTGAACAGTACTGATATTCAAGAGGTAAAGGTGGTCCTTTTCAAAGAGAACCTTGAAAAGGAGAAGACAGCCTCTTTAGGAGATGAAAGTTTGGATATCCCACCACCCTCGCTACCAGTTGAACAGCCTGGGGTTATTTGAACTTCAGTATTCATACATTTTCAGCAATTAACTAGATTTTTGATTAAACATGTCATTTCCCAAAACTTATTAAATAGAATTATTTGTTGTTCTGTATTTTATTAAAAAAGCTCACATATCAGTATCTTTTAAAATTTATCAAATTAAAGATTATCACAGTGCCAGCTGATGTTTACCTGAGATTGTTCTATTCCTGTTGGTAGGAGAAGTGCTCAGTATCAGCAATGGTTTCTCGTTTGATTTACGTTTCTTTTTCTTGGACTTTGTGACTGGAGCTGGATCAAACTCTTCAACCTGATCAAGATCTTTCTTTAAGTAGCCCTTCTTGCATTTACATAAGCAAGCCTTGAAAGCTAGATCGTATCCTCTTTTAGTCCATATGTTTTGTCGTCGCTGCTTTTCGGACCAGCTCCGAGCTCTGCCAGAAAGCTTGAGATACTGGAGAACTGACTCTTCAAACTGATCAAAACACTCGCTGTGCATGAACAGTGAACAGGTGCACTGGTCACTACTCGATGTTAACTTAACGCACTGAAAAGGTTTTAATTATTATTATTATAAAACAGGATCTTACCTACAAAAATGATTCTTAAAAATACCTTAATGCGGTAAACTGTACCCTTGAAAAAGATTTTCCCAACATCTGTTGCATGCAGCTGTATCTCTAATTTCGTTCAATTTTGCAAGTTGTCCATTTGCAAAGGTTTTAAGTAACATCTAAATTTAATGACCTAGTTCAAATTATAAACAATTGTAATTAAGGCCAGACAATGTTGACTGTCAAATTCTATACCTACCAATTAGAAATATGTACTTGCAACAAGATTGTCCTAAAACTAGTCTTAAATTAGGCAAACCTGATGCAAATTAACAGGTGAAGGTACAGTGCATCCATTAGGGGCACAACAAGTGATAAAGATATCATCAACTTCGTCACTGTTGCTAGAAAAACTAGCGCTTGAATTCACTTCACTTTTAGACTCTGAACCACTTGCCATTCTATAAGATTGATTATAAAAAGTTATCAACTACAGAACTTTAAGTTATATAATCAAAATTCTTGTAACAGAATACATGTAATGTTTCCTTCTTTAGTATGCAAAATCTAGTTTTAACGTTTATTTTCTATCAGGTTACAAAATAAGCTGTCAGAGAAATTCACCATAGATCTCGAAACAAGATCAATCTCAAGACAAGGCATTTTCTCTTGTTCATAAGCATGTGTGCTGATTAGTAGAAACCGAAGTTGGTCGAAAGTCGAAAGCTGGCTAATTTTATAATGGCCATGAATCATGCAATCTGGATGAGTTTCCTGTTCGATTTACTTATTACAACATTACAGACCTATGCCTTCAATGTAGTTTTCATTTTTTGCCGCACATTATTCCAGCAGACCAGCAATCATTCTATTTAATTATGTTACATAACCTGATATCAGGCCCTAGATCTGTTTTCAATCGCAACCATACAGTCGAAAGATGAGAATCGCTGTTTTTTAGAACATTCCTTTGACAATCCATAAGCGTGATTTTAAGTCGTTTCTTTTCAACGCAAGAATAGCAACCACATTGGGACATCTTTTCGTCAGTTATTCCACACTTCACAGTTTACACTGCTTTGTGAAAATATCTGTCACTGCCAATATTTCAACAGTTGGATTGAACAAGAACAACAAACACACTTTTATAGCAGCTGAACAGATCAAGTTGCCAACTGAGTGTGTCACAAACACCAGCTTACAGTTTGAATAGATGTCGAAAATCCAAATAATATCCCACGTTCTAAATCATACAAATTCTAATCTATCTTGTTATATATTCTAGTAATTTATTGTATGATTAACCGATATACTATTCAGGATGACTACCTGGGTTTTGGTTTTGGTTTTGGTTTAGCTTTTAGCTTTTAGTCTTGCGTTTACCTTGTCACAACGATTCATAACAATGGCGACGAGTCTGGTTTCGAACTTACGCTTATCCAAGGAAACTGATTGTGTCAGAGAGTGGCTGGAAATCTTTGAAAACGCCGCTTCTGTGTTCATTTTCGCACACGCAGATAAGTTACCAGATGACGCAAACGAGAAAACTGCTAAAAAAGCAGAACTCATGAGAACACTGTTAACAGTCAATCTGGGGCCTGACGCGTTGAAGAAGTTGCGTGCATTTACATTTCCAGCTGAAATTAAAGACACTGACTACGCTACCCTGAGAAAAACTCTTGTTGATCGGTTATCACCCAAAACGAACATTGTAGCTCAACAGCAGAAGTTTATGACTTTAAATCAGATTGCTGGTGAATCCTTATGTACTTTTATGTCACGATTGAAGGAAGCTGCTAATGTTTGTCAGTTCGGTGATTTGTTTGATTTAATGGTGCGTACACGTTTTGTGGCTGGACTATCCTCTGATAGGATACGTGCTGAACTCATATCAGAATCTGCTACCAATGACACGTCTGCCAGCCTGTTCGATAAAGCTCAGACGAAGGAGAACGCTCTGCAAAGTTCAATGTCAGCCACAACACACTATGTTCAAAAACCCGGGAAGTTTCAAAAACCTCAAAACTCTAAGTTCCATCAGAAGGCCGACCTTAGCATTGTTTGTTCACGTTGTACTGTTCGTGGTCATGTTGCGAAAAACTGCAAAGTTCGTTGCAGAAACTGTCGCAAACCCGGACATATCGCGAAGAACTGTCGTTCAGCTAAGAAGCAATCCCATTGTGTTGAAGGGATTGGTGATCATAATGATGGCAACGCTTGCGCTGCTGATTATGGGTACACACATCAAGAGTCGGAGAACACGTTGTACTGCGTGGAGACGGCTGATCCTGTCCAGGTTCCAGTACAGATTCCTGTTCCCGATGGTACTCTTCCTGCATCAGTTGTTAGTAATTTATCCAGTTGTATTGATTGTAATCAGAAACCATTTCTTAAAGTTAAGATTAATGATAAGATTTTGAAAATGGAGTTAGATACTGGTTCATCTTTAAGCTGTATAAGTAAGTCTGATTTTGCTAGACTAGGACTAACTGATTGCCAGATTGTTCCATGTTCCCAGAAATTGCGAGTAGCTAATTTTAATTGTGAAAGCATTGACTGCAAGGCCCTTGTAAACGTTGAATTTAGAGGCAAGAAATGGATTTTACCACTATATGTTGTCGATTGTCGGTTTCCCACACTCCTAGGTCGAGAGTGGATCATCCAGATGTTTGGTAAAGACTGGTTGGATCATATGATAGGACTTGTTGATGTTGAGCAATCTTACGCTGTCTCCAAGTTTCAGAGAGATGAATTTGTTAGTGAGATACTCCGCAGTCCTGTGTTCGATCCTGGTGTTGGAACTGTTAAAGGATTCGAAGCTTGTCTACAATTTAAGCCTGATGCGAGAGCAAAGTTTTGCAAGGCAAGGCAGGTCCCATTTGCCATCGTAGACAAGGTTGGGAAAGCCATAGACGAGTTAGTGAAGAATGGACAGCTGATTCCAACAGAGCACTCAGACTGGGCTTCACCCATAGTTCCTGTCATGAAAGCGGATGGTACGATTCGCATATGTGGTGACTACAAGACTACTGTAAATCCTAATCTCGACACAGCTATTTACCCACTTCCTACGATAGAAGATTGCTTGAGTAAGATTGTCGGAGGTAAACTGTTTACTAAGCTGGATATCAGAGCCGCTTATAATAGTTTAAAGTTAAGAGAATGTGACCAAAAGATTGTGACTTTGAACACACACAAAGGATTGTTCAGTCCTACTTCTCTACCATTCGGTATTTCATCTGCCGGACCGATATTTGAACGCAAGATTGATGATACCTTGAGAAAGACAGAGAACACGGCATGGCGTGTTGACGACATTCTAATAACAGGACCTGATGATGAGAGTCACATGAAGAACGTGAGAACGGTGATTACAGCACTAGAGAATGAAGGCTACAAATGCCGGCTAGACAAGTGTGTTTTCATGGAGCCTAAGGTGACATTTCTTGGCCATGAAGTATCTGCTGACGGGATAAGACCGCTGAGTTCGAAAGTTGAAACGATAGTGAGAGCACCGTATCCTACTACTAGAGCGGAGATGATATCATTTCTTGGTGGTGCACAGTACTATTCACGTTTTATTCCAAACATGTCAACAGTTGTTGAACCACTTAACCGTTTAAGACCCGCTGACAGTATTTTCCACTTTGGAGATAGAGAAAAGAGAGCTTTTGATGAGTTAAAAGCGCTGTTATCGTCTGACTTGGTTCTAACAGTCTACAACCCTGAGCTGGAGTTAAAGCTTGACACGGACGCTTCATCCGTTGGTTTAGGAGCTGTTATGTCACATATTGATGAAAATGGGACAGAGCGACCGATCGAGTATATATCTCGAACACTGACGAAATCTGAGAGAAACTATTCCATGATAGAAAAAGAAGCATTGGCAATAGTTTGGGCGACTAAGAGACTGCACCGTTATCTTTTTGGACGACCATTTACCCTAGTTACAGACCACAAGCCGCTGGAATCTATCTTTCACCCTAGTCGTGGGATTCCTAGCATGGTGGCAGGTCGTTTACAACGATGGTCATTGTTCCTTAGCGGTTACACTTACAAGATCCAGTTTCGACCCACTGGTAAACATTGTAATGCTGATCTATGTTCCCGTTTTCCACTGCCTTTAGACACATCGGCAGAGACGAGAGAGTTTGATGACGAGTTAACAGAGGAGTTTGAAATGAAACCTCTAGATACTGTTTTCAGCGTGCACTACTTCGGTGATGACAAACCTTTGATTGACGCTGAGTTAATAGCTAGTCACACAAGAAGAGACAAGACACTTGGTCGAGTGTTACAGTTTGTTAAAGACGGCTGGAACGAGAAACCCCCTGTTGATGTCGAGCTGAAACCGTTTTACACACGTCGAAACGAGTTGTCAGTAGACCAGAACTGTATTGTCTGGGGATCTCGAGTTGTTATTCCAGAGAGTATGAGAAAGAGCGTGCTTTCAATGCTTCATGCAACACACATGGGCATTTCACAGACCAAAGCACTAGCGAGAGGCTATGTTTATTGGCCAAACATGGATGCTGAGATCGAGAAAATGGTTAAACTATGTGAACCATGTCAACTAAACCAGAAGAAACCCGCTAGATCTACACCACACCCATGGGCTAAAACTATGGAGGCTTGGGAGCGGATTCATCTAGATTTCTGTGGACCCTTTCTTGGATCTATGTGGCTGATAGTTATCTGTTCGTATTCAAAATGGTTAGAAGTTGTTAGAATGACGAACATTACAAGTAAGAGAGTGATTCAAGAGTTACGAGACATCTTTAGCCGTTGGGGACTACCCAAGATACTAGTATCAGACAATGGATCGAGTTTAACTTCAGAAGAGTTTAAAGTATTCACGAATAATAACCAGATTCGACACGTGCTTATTCCTGCTTACTCACCTGCAAGTAATGGACAAGCAGAAGTTGCAGTCGGACTGTTTAAAAGAGCTATGAAACGGATGATCTTGAAAAACCCTGACGTTATGTGTAACCTGGCTGATTGGCTGCTAAACTACCGCAACACACCACACACCACTACCGGAGTAGAGCCTGCAGTTGCGATGATGAAACGACGGACGAGAAACGCCTTGAGTTTTCTACACCCGAGTTCGAGTAGTAAGTTTGCCAAAGTTGCTTTAAACGATCAGAACACGATTGCTGAATCGAGACTTCGTGATCTGAAGATTGATGACACTATATCGTTCTATGATGAGAACAAGAAGTGCTGGAGAAACGGTGTTATCGAGGGTAAGGAAGGTACCAAAGTGCTACTGATCAAGACACCTGATGGAGTCTACCGCAAGCATTTGGACCAGGTAATCAAGAGATCTGTTGTGTCAGAACCGTTGCAACAAACAGATCCGGATACACCACGAGTTGAGCTGGAGATAAGAGATGAGCAGAGTTCTACAGCTACTGATGGTGATTTAGAGAAGACAGCTAGCTTACCTGAGAGTACAAAGCCGGAAACTTCGATTATAGTTGGTAATAATCCAAATCTACCCGCCGAGCCTGACCATAAGGCAGCCGTTGAACATATAATCACTGCACAACCTGTACTTAAACCACGTGAGCTTGCCATAGAAATTAACCGTAGCACTATGAAACCTAACATTGTTAGAGAGCATGAATTGCAACAACCTAATTTGCTTCTGCCAGCAAACTTTGCACGTGATAGTAAACCACCAGACAGGCTAAGTTACCGCAAACTGGGAGGAACATAAAACACGTTTCATTATCACATTTTATGACAGTTGTTTTATTTTGAATGTGTAAATCTAACCACACATAAATCCAGTTAAATTATCCAGATCAAACATAAAGTTATAAATATTCCCTGTCACGTTTAAGTTTTGAAGAATAACACGTTATTTTTTGTTTTAAACGGAATGCGCTAAGTTTTAAATCGTGTAGCGAGCGCAACACGCTTCAATATTTTCACGTGAGTTCACTTAACAATTTTGTAGATTTCATTTTGACCACGTTTTCAAACATTTTAAATTTTGTACGATTGATTTATATCACATTTTTTTACGAATTCAGTTAAATTATTAAATCTATATTGTTTTTAACACTTTTTAGTTGAACGGGATGTTATATATTCTAGTAATTTATTGTATGATTAACCGATATACTATTCAGGATGACTACCTGGGTTTTGGTTTTGGTTTTGGTTTAGCTTTTAGCTTTTAGTCTTGCGTTTACCTTGTCACAACGATTCATAACATATCTCAAAGGAAGTTTGTAATGATTTAATTTAGCAGTAAAACAGCAAAATTTTGAGCTGAGCAGTGGTAGCCATAAAACTGAATTTCGGTATACCTAATACTACATTTCTGATAGCCGATACTCCGATAGGCTCCTACCTATTTTCAGTTTTGTTATGTTACCACTTCATAGTCCAGTAAACGACCGGGGGTAGGATTTGGCCGGGGCCGGGGCCGGGGCCGGGAATGTCCAAATTTTGCCGGGGCCGGGAATTGGCCGTTCTGGAATTTGGCCGGGGCCGGGCCGTGAATTTAATAAATCCATGGCCAAGTTAGAACTTTTCAGGACTTAGGATCTGAACTTATTTTTACATGACAATATAATGTTCGTTTTTAATGTAATTTTAAGACTTATATGAAAGTTTAGGCGTTTCGATCAAAAATTCGGCAAAATGAAATCGGCCGGGGCCGGGGCCGGGAAGAAATAGCTCCCCCGGTGCCGGGATTTCACGGCGCCGGGAATCCCGGTCGATTACTGCTTCATACACATGACACAGTGATTACAAATATATTTAAAATGTAGTTGGAGGACTTCGCCGCTTCGACGCGCCGCGCGAACTAGCATTCTTGCTTCCGGTTTCACTAATTCACTTGCCATGGATTATAGGAAAAACGCGCTCGTTTGTATTTCGCATTGGATATAAAGATGACCAATGATATTGCAGTGTTTAAGTCACGTGCGCGTGATATGGAGCGCTTGCGTGTGCTAGCTTGAGATCAGATACAAGCTTTTGTTCCTGACTCTTTCTCACTCGCTCTCTGCATTATATTATTATACCTTCTGATAAACCTATCGCTTGCAGTTTGTTGAATATCTCTGTCATCTGTCATTTGCCTTAAAGTGATACCCTTCTCGTACGCTTTTGTTATTGTTATGGTTTCAATGTCATGAGAGCTACATACATCCAAGAAAAATGTATGATTTTGGCACTTTTTTATGTGGCACTGTCCACTGTTTGTATTTTGCATTGTCGCCACGGTTGCAATCATGGAGTTACTGGGCCGCGCTCAGCCTGTCATTCCGCCTAATCTCTATTAACAACATTAAAGCCTGGGGTCCTCAGGTAATCATGGAGATGCCGCTACTTCCATACCCAACTTTGCCAAAATGGTCTTGTCTATAACTTCTGCCTAAATAATGAATGCAAGCTCATACATATTCGAGAATTTAGCAACCAGCCCGCTCCACACTCCCTTCTTTATTCTGACTGAGACTCATCTGAAGCCATACCATGTTGAAGCGGAGACGTGTATCCCTGGCTACAGTACCATCAGAGCTGATCAAGACAAACGTGCTCAAGGCGGTGTAGCTATATACCTACACCACTCTTTACCTGCTGACACGATAAAAGTGTACTCTAACTCCTATTGTTAAGTTGCAATGGTTCACATCGCTAGCAGTAACTTTCTCCTTGTTGGCGTGTACCGCCCTCCACAGGCACCAGTCAACAAGTTTGATGACTGTTTGTGTGTGATTCATGACTTTATAGACCACCTCCCTGGCTCTCCTGAACTCTACATTCAACATTGCAGGCGACTTTAATTTGCCGTTTGTAGACTGGTCCAGTAAGTCTATCAAACCAAACTCAAGCACGGCTTCCGACACGAACTCGGGACTAGCCTTTATGGAGTTCATATCTTCAAACACTGGGAGACTTTGGGACCGGAAACTGATCCGGCCCCCAAAGAGGGGTCAGATCACGTCACCAATTAGTGACGTATAATTAGTGATGTGATCCATGGATTGAATTTAATTGACATAGAAATGGGCTAGATCTGGGGTAGAGTTCACATGTCAATTCTGTGAATCATAGCTGTACATTAAGAAGTAAACATGATCTGACTGCTCCTATAGCAGCTAGTCGACGAACCCACTAGGAAGGACCAAAACATCCTTGACGTGATCCTCTCCAACAATATCGATTTAATCCACGGTTTATCAGTGTCAAAGACGGAGAAATCAGACCACGTCATAGTGACCTGTAGTCTGTACTTTCCTCCACCCGCAGTTCCTACTTGAGCAACCAGCAAGGAAACAGTACAGCGCCCTGTCACAGCACTTGATGACATCAACTTCAATGCTGCTGACTGGGCCTTGATCAACAAGGAACTCACTACTGTAGACTGGTCGACAGTAACCAACCCTTCAACTAACCAAGATGCTGCATGGGACATGTTTGAAGGGATCCTTGTGCAGATCTGCAAGAAACACGCACCTCCCTCCCTCCCTCCCTCCCTCCCTCCCTCCCTCCCTCCCTCCCTCCCTCCCTCCCTCCCTCCCTCCCGCCCTCCATCCCTCCCTCCCTCCCTCCCCCCCTCCCTCCCTCCCTCCCTCCCTCCCGCCCTCCCTCCCTCCCGCCCTCCCTCCATCCCTCCATCCCTCCCTCCCTCCCTCCCTCCCTCCCTCCCTCCCTCCCTCCCTCCCTCCCTCCCTCCTTCCCTCCCTCCCTCTAGTTCCATGATCGGGACGCATTTGGAGATGTATCTCTAGGATAATCTTGGTTTAAGCTTTTTGATGTGTAATACATAGATTCGGGTGTAGGAACCGAGGCTCCTATTTGTTCTTTTAGAGCTCCACATTTGGAATTATAAATTTGAGTGTATCAGTGTAGTTGTTTGGCGTCAGCTAGACTGGCATAAGTGGTCCGCACCCGACTAACAGCCAGCGCTCTGATTGGTCAGCGTGACTGCTATTCTATAGCTTATTGGCCAGCTTGCGTGTCACGTGGTACCCTACAAACGTGTGTTCAAGTTAATTTGCAGTAGAAATTCAACTGGGATGTTCGGTTTATTATTCTTTGTTACTCCCTGTTGGCATTCTTTAGCGCTGAATGACATCAAGACCTAAATACCTTAGGTTCTTAACTCGACTCAGGATTGTTGTATCATGTTATATACACATAATATAGCAATGGCCAATTGGCTGACTATAAGGTCATGGCCTGAACAAACAATTTTTTTAAAATAGTCAAGTGATGCTAAAGCAGAGCACAAATGTGTAATAAGTTAATAGATTATAATATTATATCATGTTATTGATTTTCTGACTGGTTTTTTTCAACTGGTTGCCGGGGTAATTTCATTGGATCCTCCTGCCCGGACAGTAATAATGTCATGTTGCAGGTTTGTTACTATTCATGATATAAGAGTCAATTTTGTTTTGAGCCTACCGTGATCTTCATTAAATCTGCTACATTGATACCCAGTGTTATAACAGGTAGTAGATAAGCTTACTGATTGTTCTACTATAGTAACTAGTAACTAGTAACTAATAACTAGTAACTAGTACCTTATGTTAAACTTAATATCATAACTTAAAACAATTATTGTTCCGGACGATAGTGATATTGCGGGGTGTAACAAGTTTACAGTTATAACCTCACTTTATTAATAATTGTTTGGTGTAATAATTGTTTTGTTAAATTAATGATTGTTTGGTGTATTTCTCTAACCAATATAATGGTCAGGCATGTACGGAGACCTCCCTGCTAGCTCCAGCTCCTACGAGGACCTAATCCTTCTGATAGAGAAACTGATAGAACTCCTCTGTCCTGGTCTTCCGCTGGTCAAGACCAGTTTGTACGAGCTGGAGCTCTTGTTCCATCCCTGGGTGGAAAGTTGGTACGCTAGTCCAGACCATGGAACATCAACGTCCTGCTGTTATTCAGAGCACTGATGTGGCTGGACGGAAATCCAGCCTCTAAAATTAGACTTGTTCTTCCCGGTATGTGGTGTTTGTGGGAAGAGTGCCGTTAATAAAAAATAATCTTCTTTTCCTGTAGCTTATATAATATCCTAATCTTGAACCCGTCTCTGATCCTGATCTAATACTGCAGTAATTATAGTGAGTAAGATAGAAGTAGTTAATAAACTTCTCCAAAAACGGTTGACAGGTCGAGTCGTGGCTAAGTAATGAACGAATGAGAGCTCATTTTTGTCACGTGACAGCACTACTATAAAATATCCCTTATTATATATTCCCTACTCTGTGATCACCCTCCCCCCTCAGATATTCAAGAAGAGGAAGGAGAGAAGGAGGAACCACACAAAGGAATGTACAACGTGTCAGTAGGAGACCTCATCACCCAAATCTACGCCGCCTCCGGGCAACTACTGGACCTCAACTACCGGGCTGGCCGGCTCTATCATACCTCACCTACCGGGCTAAAACACGGGTCTTCATAGTGATATGACTTTGATTTCGAATAGACTGATATTTATTAACATTTTTGGTTAGGTTCATGGTTAGGACATTGGACAGTTGTTATTTTTTACTTAGTTTGGTAATGTTATAATAATCTTGATGTCAACTGTTTTATAGCGTAAATATTCTGTTCTTCTAACAGCACCGTTATAAAAGTGTTTTAATCCTTCAAACATATGTAGCTGATAGTGATATAATAACATATTGTAAAATTATTGAAATGTGACGTGCTCTGGTATATAATATATCGACTATTATGGTACAATCTAGGTAGATAAGAATCTGGTAGAATGTAGAATTTGGATCTATTTAACAGTTGGAGGCACGTTTAAGAGGCAAATCGATCTCAATTTCAATTGCCCTTTCAGAAATCTCACCGTTGATAAACAGAGCTACAAATCTAAACAATTGTGAGATTTATCCTTGGTTATGGCCGTGTAACAACTTCAAATCGTGGTATCTGTTTGCGATGCAAAACTGAAAACAAACCTTAAATGAAATTGAATCAATGATCAAACAAACCTTAAATGAAATTGAATCAAAACTTGCAGGAATAATTTTATTGCATGTTTGATGTTATTGATAATTCGTGAATTCATGCAACCTTAATTGACGTTGTCAATTCATGGCAGCTCGGCGCGGCACAGTAGCGCATCTCGCCGATCTAGCCGATCTGTCGCTGTGAGAAGCCTTATTAAGTGCGCGGCGCGGCACAGTAACGCATCGCGCTACAAATGCAACCTTATTTAGTGCCTAAAATTCAATCAGCTAATTACAGGCCATGCGTTTCATAAACCATATTATGGCCCATTTCGGTCACAAATCAAAGCTTAAATTGAGTTTATTGCACGCGCGGTGAACAAATTGTGTAAAAACAACTATGCTGTCACAAATAATGCGCGCTATAGAGGTGACCAATGAAATCACGGCATTAAAAACACGTGATAGCGCGCTGGCGAGTGAATTAGTAAAATCCTCTTGCTTCGAACGTCGTCGATCGTTGCTCTGCTTCGCAAAGCAACGATCTCGATGGATTGACATCGTCAATCAAGAATTAGTAGAGGCTCTTACGGGCAAATATCGCGCTTCTTTGCTCGAGCCCTGGGACTTCTTTTAGGTTTCTTATATGATAGAATGGAGTGTACTGAACACTCTGACGGTATCGGGAACATTCTAGAGCCTTCAGAAGCTTTGTTGTGAGCACTTCACTGCCAAAACTTCGGACATCTACAGACACCGGAATATCGACTAAAATTTTTTTCTGAGTTGTTCCCCTAATTTCTCTTAGGTTGCTTAAGCCCTAGAAAGTGTCAGATCGTCTAAATATTGCTCCATTCCGGTGTTAGAGACCTCGAAAATTTCGACCTCGTAGAACGTGTTGCGCGTCGTATGTAGTGTTTACAATGGAAAAAGTTTACTTAAATCTGATTCGGTTGCGGCGCGTGACGTATCTAGCACGATATTTGCTCGAAAGCGCGTCACTGCGCCAGAAACCTCGTGGTACCGTAACACTGTAGAAATAGATCATCACAAGAGACACAATAAACGTATCATCACTATGCAAAGTTAATGTTAAAATGATACAATAGCCCTGCTTTAACAGATTAATCCACATAAACACTATATTTCTACAGTCCGATCAGTAAATCGAACATGTTTTTGAAGATAAATCTTCTGATAGAATTCGTTTCTACATTGAAAGATTTCTTTTCTAATCTCCTTTAAGAGTGCTGTCTTTGTTAAAGTGTTATCATCTCTATCCGCATCTATTGTTGCGGCAAGATTAGATACGATTCTGCTGTCGAAACAAACTCGTCTTACCGACATTGTCTTTCTGAAAACTGATGTGATCAGATTGAACATTGCTGGAGTTTGCAGCGTTCTCAGATAAATTAGACGTCACATAGTCATTGTACTTAAGCTTCAGGTCAGACACGAGGTACAGTTCTGGTAAAACATTCTCCTGCTCCAGTTAAAAGGTCCGTATCAATACCTGCACTCATTAATGCAGCATTGGTGTTGTCGTGCGTGGACACGTTTCTTTCCATTTTAAAACCTGCCTTAGAGACAGGTTTTAAACTTACAGCTTCAGATAATTTACCCTTCAATTGTTTCACCCTCGAGTTGCTGTACCTCGAACGACATGTTTTGTGATATCTACCTAGCTTGCTATAGAGATATTTTCCGAGACTCTCAGGGTTAAGAACAGGGCACTTGTTCATGTGCGAATCAGGATTAACATCGATGTTGCACAGATCCTGACGATTTCTGTAGATGTCCACAGATAGTATGTTGCGAAATCGACGAAGAAACTATTATCTTTTCCTTGAATCAGACTATCCTTTTTCGTTTCTAACGTCTAGGGAAATTCGTATTGTTAAAGAAGAATAACCTCTCATACTCTTAAAATTAAATCGAGATAATATGTATAATAATTATATTTGCGAGCAAAAGTTTCACACAAACCTGTTCAACCTGGCATATGAAACACAAGTCTCAGTCCATTTCAAACAAATCAACATCTGGTCCACTTGATTTGGAACTAAATGAAGAAAGTCTCCACATTTTCTTAGTTCTATTCGAGGAGGGTGACAGAGGCGGGACTTTTTCCACTTGGATGGCAATAGCTTCTTCAATCTTCATCACAAGAGGATTCGTCAATTTCAGAAACAGCACTGTACACCTGCAAATATATTATTACTTCCCACATTTATATCAACAGTATCATATCACATAAGTTTGAGATCGTACAAGTGTTATATCATTTTAAAAGTTTGCAAATCCGATAGAAATGGATTAAAAATTACTACTGATCGCTGTCTATTTACCTTTGAATAATAATGTTTTTCAGGATGTGGCCGGGACATGATTTCAGGCCTGACCGGGACCGGGATACAAAATGTGACTTGACCGGGACCGGGACCGGGACCGGGACCGGGATAGCTCAAAATTGCCAATCCCGGTACCGGGATTCCCGGTACCGGGAATTCCGGTCGATTACTGGTTAATTCATGATCATAATTTATTACTCAAACTTGTTAAGCAATTTTAAACATTGTTGTATTTGGCTCAGAGGATGTTTAAAGATGAAATTCACAATGAATGAAAGGAAAAACTTAGAATCACAGTGAATGAAATTATGTAAAAGATCCCGGTCAAAATCCCGGCAAATTTGAGTGATTGCCCAGGACCAGGACCGGGACCAGGACCAAGAATCCCGAATTAACCGGGACCGGGACTGGGACCGGGATCATAAATAAATAAATCAGCATTTGACCGGGACCGGGATAGCTCAAAATTGCCAATCCCGGTACCGGGAATCCCGGTCACCTCCTGATGTTTTTAAATGTTAGTAAAACAGGAGGAAACCACTCAACCTGTTATAGTTGTCTTTTACATAGTTAAGACGCTGAATACACAAAAAAAGAGGTTTGCTTTGGTGAGCACAACCCAGGATTGATCTTCTGCAGCAGGGCGAGGAATTCTCTAGACTGTTTTGTAATTCGTTCACTTTCAGAGCGGAAGAAAACTGTGTCATTAAAATCCTTTATTTCTATTCGAGTACAGATACAGCACTCTGAAAATTGATGAATGGTCACATTTTTGTATACCCTACGGCAAAGTCTTATGTATGTGGTAAAAGAATGATATTCTTTAAATATATAATAACATCTATAAACAAAAGAGCACCTAAAGAGGCTCAGCAAAGTGCTGGCCTATTTACGCTTACGAAGACTCATTCGTTCAATATGTCTCAAAGTAAATAAACTCCTCCATCCTACTCTATCTCTTGCTAAGTTCACTAAGTTGGTAAAATAATCTTCATTTTTCAAATAAATTCGTCTCTTGAATAGGTCCTTTTTCACAATAATATCATACAAATTAGTCCTGTGTCTACACACTCGTCCCTTTAGTGTTTGACATCCTAGTGAAGCAAATAACAGAGACTGGTAGGCAGGCGTGTCGTTGTCACTGCGTAGAACATGACCTAGCATTGTCCACCGTGCCTTTTCCACTCTCTCGGAAAGGGGCCTGGTCTGGGTACGAGCGTAGAGGGCCTTGTTAGATGTTGAGCTAGGCCAATAGATGTGTAGGATGCGCTTGAGGTGCTTCCTCTGAACAACATCTACAGACTCTAGAACATGCCGAGGTACGGCCCAGCAGCAGCAGTTGTACAGGAGCAGTGAGCACTGATACTACTAGTGAGTCGTAGAGTTTGATCTTTCTCTTCTCAGTTATCTGACTCCTCTCTGATCCCTGGCACCACAGCTTGTCAAATGACCAGAAGGCGGTGTTAGCTTTATTCATTCTATTAGTAACATCCTGCTCTGATCCAAGCTTAGTACCAAGAAGCGTCTCGTTTCTCCACTCCTCTTTTCCTCTTAGTTCATTATCCCACTCGTCACATGCACCAACTTCTTCTAAATACACTCTGGTAAACTTTGTCTTTGTGTCATTGACAAAGAGACTCCATTCACTGAGAATATTCTTGGAGATCTGAAAGATATCCTGTAACTCCTCCATATCTTCACCAATCTCCTCTACATCGTCTGAATAGCCGGACTCAAGAGGCATGTGGTTATCGGCTATCGGAGGGTTGGGGGTTGAGGGGAGGACTGCTCTTATGTGCACTACAGCTCCAGCTAGATTGAGGGTAAACAATTTACCAGCTGTGCTGTCTCCTTGGGAGGCTCCTATGTTGAAAGAGAACATCTCTGAGTCAGTAGAACACACTCTGACTACTAGAGTGGTGTTAGCCATGAGGTATTGTACAAGCCTCAGGTCGTCTCTGGAGCATCCTGCAGCTTCTAGTAGTCTGATTGTTGTACCTCTGCGGATGGTATTGAAGGCAGCTGACATGTCAATACTCACTTTGTCCCATTCAAACTCCTTCTTCATTACTACAGATATAAGCATGCTCTGTGCCCAAACTAGGTCGGCACAGCTCCTGCCAGCTTTGAAGGCAGCTTGGAACGGTCCGGTGAAGTTTTTTATTAAAGCCTAAAC